GATAGATCAAAACTCATCACGATGCAAATATAATGATCGCCATTTCTACGGTCCTTGCTCCATCATAATTTTTCTAAATTAGCTAAAAGTTATGCGTTTAATTAACATTAATTTAATTTACATGATAACTAGAAATTCTTGTTTGATTTAACCAAAATGCCTTCAATCATATACGTCTTGTTGGTACAATCAATTTTTCACACTTTTTTAATAACTATAGTTTATGTTATATCGTATTATGTTAATTAAACGCACAATTAAATTAAATTAATGTTAATTAAATGCATAACTTTTAGCTAATTTAAAAAAAATTATGATGGAGCAAGGACCGTAGAAATGGCGATCATTATCTTTGCATCGTGATGATAGTTTTGATCTATCTTCGAATCATTTGCGATCTTTAAAGGCCGTTGAAGTCAATTACAATTATTTGCTACTAGACAGAGCAATAAAGTAGACGACAATAAATCGTTGCGGTAAATCAGTGGTAATTAATGACACAGGTAATGGAGAAAAAGTTTCACATTCGTTATGGACTTGTATATCGACGATTGTAATTTCTTTCGAGAAACAATCTTATATTATAATGTTTTATTATTAATAAATGAAATACAAGTCTTTTTAAGATTGGATAAATTATTAATTTTTTTGAAGAAAAATGTCGTCAACTTTTTCGATAAAAGGCTCAATCATTAAAGCTCATCAAAGCATCAAAGCTCGATACATTTTTAAAAGAATTACTCAATTCGATATCTCTGTTAGAAAGACGCATGCAATACACATCTTATTGTGGTGAGGACAAAAAAATTCAAATATTCTTGATTTCGCAAGATGAAATAGCTCGCGATACCATTGAAATTATTTGACTCAACAAGATTTACCGATCCCGGAGATAATCCTCGTGTAAGGAAAAAAGTGGAAGCCCCCATTCAGCATCCTGTCGAAGCGCCACGCACGATCGCGAGAGAAAAGTCGAGCGTATGAAAAAGAGGAGGACAAAAAGAAATGATGAGGCTTCTCGCTGCGGTAGCTCGTAATGATGGGCTGCGCGCCGCGTGAGCCGGCTTGATCGTTCATTAAGCGTCGAGCCGACCCCGGATGCGGACGTACGCGACTATACGACGTGCGTACACGCGCGCCTCACGCACGGGGCCCCAGCCTTGCCGAGGCCAAACGGAAGAAACGTCACGTATGCGCCCGCATCCGGTTCCCAACGAGACAATCGAAAACTAGAGAGACTACAAAAAGTAAAAAACAGAGAATTAAATTGAACGGTATATTTTTTTATAAAATATAAATGTTGTGTTAAAGATGTTTAATTTTAGATTTATTTTTGTAGTGAAAAATTGCGCACAAATGTTTGCATCATTTAATTAACAATATTATATTTTTATTATATATATTTTTGTATAGTTTATTAAATTTTCTATCGACTCCCGTTGACTGTTGATTGCGATAGAATTGCAGCAACGCGCTTGCACCGACTTTGCCGTATCACTCATCGTATGAGAACCCACGTTGATGTATCCTTGAGTCATCCATCGAACAATGCATCGCGCGGAAGCCTCGAAGTGACGTTTGTATCCGGATGTTGGATGCTGCGGGTCGATCTGGGAGCTCGCGTTGCCCGACTTTCCCGATTCGCCTCTATCTCGCCCGCGGGATCGTGGAAAAATTCTCAGCTCGGTGAAATTTCTGAAACACTCCTAACGCGAGAATAATTAACGCCGACCTCGGAGGGAAGAGAGGTCCGCCGGCTTTATTTCCGTCGCGCCGGCAGTCGACTACGAACCGCGACCTCGAAGGTCAATTCGTTTTAGCCGCGGTCGCGCCGGATAATTTATGACTACGGTGTTCGCTATTACTACGAGTTCCTGGTGTCCCATCTCGCTGTCTTCTCGTCGGCTTTCTTTCTCGCGGAACCTGTCTCGCCCGGGAACGAAATAGTTAACCGAGCAGCTTCGCTAAAACCGGTAAATTACACGCGTGTCTTGATAAATGCGGCATTAAGATAAAATCAGAAGCGCAAAACTATTGTTTGCGGTAAGATTATCGTTTCTTTCCCTCCACGACGCTTTGCACGTACTTTCTACTTTCTATTCATTGCAGAGATTCGGCATTTGGGCTTTATTTCGCGTAAAACGACGTATTATTTTGTACGAGACGCCAAAGTGTCGCGGTGCAATCCTGACTCATGCTTTCGTCGAGTAATCTTGACGTACGGGCTTCACGGAGCGGGCATTGTCAAGAAATACGTGCGTTGCATGTTAGTTCATTTTAACACGTCGTTACGATATTTCACACTCAGATCTTGCGTGGTTCTCAGTATTATCACCGTAGATATCCCGCTGCTGTAGCCTCTTTCGTTTACGTGCAACCAAGTCTCCTGGCAAATTCTTTCGGACGAGTAGCATTTATTGGAAACTATCTGACTGCGAAACTTTTTTTTGTGAAGGACGATGTGCTTAGAAATATATTCTTGTTCGTTTTTTGAAGAGAGGAACATTTATTTAAGTTTCTTCTTTTCGAAACAAGTTCTTCTAAAGATTTATAATCTCCTCCAAAAAATCGAATATCTCACAGATTGTTTCTCCAACGTATTAATTTGATTATATTTTATCTATATATTTATCTCTTTTTTTTTTTAATAAATAAATCGGACAATTACAAGAATCCTCTACGTGTTCTCTCTGTGAATTCGAATTATTTTCGCGAGTGTAGATGCAAATAATTTTTACACGACTATGCAAATATCGTCAAGTCAACTTGGAAGATAAAACATGCTCGGACGATCTTTAAACAATGGCTTCCTCCCTTGGAAGTTTCCAAAGTGTCCTTATTTGTGGATACATGTGTCATTTGTCGCGCTACCATCGACATAAAACTCGCGAAGAAACAACGTGAGAAAATGCGAGGAAGAAATTTTCTGCTGCGCAAAATTGATGAGAAACATGACATTTTTGGAATGTATAGAATTTTTTATCGTGAATGTTGCGACAATATCAACTTGTTATTCTTGGTAATTCGAAATTTATATTCGAGAAATTTGAAATCCGTGTTTCTCAACACGTCATGATTTCAACAAGTTCATTAACTGCGCGTTTTTCACCAACATACATTTTATATTTCCTGCTCTACTGTATATTTAATAGGGAACTATAAAACCCAGCACTCCACAAATTATTGACCCGACGTGACGTCATTCTAAAATTCATTAAAATTAATAAAGTTGTGTTTCAAAATCTCTTATCGAACGTGTCATTTATAGCATCGTTCCATCATTCTCGTTAGCAATCAATTTCGTCGATCAAACGATGCGTGCAATGTTTGTTGTCCGCGTAGTCTCCAATTTTATAACTATTCGTTTATGACGAGATACGTGGAGAGAGAAGGCGGCTTTGAACGTCGAGAGACCGGGAACGGTCTCCCCGCTAGCAAATAGTGCTTAATGGAATTTTTATGAGCAGTTGTAAATATTTTAACTCGAAATAATGAAGACATTTGGTAGTATCATAGAAATGGCTTTTACGATCGCTACCCTCGCCTGTATCTCGCTGCGAAGCCGCTTCCACAACCGGATTGGAGAATATAACGCGATAACAGCTGAGCACAGCCTGCCTGGAGGTGTTAACTCTAGGCATTATAAAAATAATCACAATGTGTCTGTTCGCGTATGTCCGATATCGCTTTATTGCGAGAAAATTTCTGCCGCGTTCATTTTCAGCTATTGCGAGTCAATACCTTGATTATATCCGATAAAAATTGGGCAAACGAATCGGTTAATTTTAAAATAAATTTTAAAATAAATTATATTTGTTAATACATTTTGACAGATGGATAAAAAATATTTTATTACGCAATAAGGAAATATATTTACGGAATAATTATTGTCTAATGAAACTCGTTTGGTCGTACGCGAAGATGATGAGTAAAAAATAACGGAGCATACCGGGTGCGGAAAGAGCTCCGAAGCTCTCGTATGTTTCGCGTTGTTGGTATTAAACCGCGGCCGATCGTATCGGACGGCAAATTCGGCGACATGGACGAGTTACTGCCTCCATAAAATTCCAGGCGTTTAACGATGACAAGAATTTATCGGATATTTTAGGCAGTGGACAGTGACCCCCACGATTCTCCTCGTTCCCCGCGCCTTTTCGGCGCTCGATCCTCCCCTCGGTCTCTGATCAAGGCAGAAGATAATGGCGCCAGGACGGGACCATTTATTGAGCGTAAATCTCCCGTGCCGGTGGCTAGCGTCGCCACCATGTGTAATCCTACGGGGTTATCTCTCGTATTTTACTTGAATTTCCGGCGGCGAAAGATGCCGTTTACACGACGCGATGCTCCGAGAGCTTTACGACGTAGCGTAAAAATTACGTTTCGTTACGAAACCGAAGCCATTCCGCGAGAAATAAACGCTCGACATAAAGTCGCTGAAATTTTCTAAACACTCTTCGAAATCGTCATGTGGCTTAGGATGTTTTGTACCTTTTTAATTTTTAAAATATTGAGAATTTAATGAAAATTGCACAAAATGTCCTTACATATGTTTAGAATCTTCGGTACAATTTTTAAATCGATTCACAAGTTATAAAGATTGTAATTTGCATCGAATTAACATGTGTTCTTATGGGAAACGTATAACCACGTCGATTCAAATGATAAAAACACATAGAAATAATATTCAGAATTTGTTTAAAATTTACAAAAGTTTAGATACAGAGAAAATATTAAGGATATCTTAATTTTTTTTCTGTGCAATTTGATGAAGCAAATAAAATAAAATAAAATATAAATAAAATATTCTTGTCAAAAATTCGTACACTTTTAATCTTTTCTAGATCGATAGCTAATTGTACATACAAAACATCCTTAAGGATATCTTGATTTTTTCTGTGCAATTTGATGAAGCAAAATAAAATAAAATATTCTTATCAAAAATTCGTACACTTTTAATCTTTTCTAGATCGGTGGCCAATGATATATCCTATGACTTCCAGGTGAGGTGTCGGGCGAAAACGTGTCCGCGGGCACGGGACCAGCACGTGGCGGTGATCGTGGAGAAGCGGCGGATTTAGGTACGCACTCGGAAAACAACGACGGGGCCACCCTGGCAGCGAACACAGCGGTCGACGCCAGGGGCGGAAGCCCTCAGGGTGCCCACCTGTCCGGTGCGGCGACCCCCAGACCTCCAAGGGGTAGAAGGCGGCAGAATCAGAATGGCCTCGACACGACCCAAGTAAGTGGAACTTTTTATATTTGCCGCTATTTTTAGTTATACTTATTATTATACGAATATATTCAAAATATTCTCAGATCTCGAATAATATTTGCTCCTCCTGATCATTCCCTTCACGAAAAGGCTCACGATAGATGTTTGGAGTTAAATTTTGACACGGTACACAAAACTTCTACGCACACATAGGTAAACACAATCTTACTATATTGACGTAGAGTGACTGAATTTTTATTTATTTATTTTTTTTTTTTCGTTCGTCGCGAGAAGGACGCGAGATTTGTTGTACAAATTTTTCGAGAGACGCGTCGCTTCTTCCGTGAAGTGTAGTGTTTGAGCACTTGGGGACACGTGCGCTAGTCCGGGGAGATATCCTCGACGAGAGAGTCCATCGCTCCTGCTGGCGGTAGCTCGTACACGTGTACACGAAGAGTCCCGTTCAAAACCAACCATGCAGCAACTATGTCAACCGCGTCGAAAGCCGCAGTGTCATTCCGCCGTTGACATCCGTCGACCCGTTCGACGCTTCTGTAAACGACTTGAGCGAAAGAAAAGAAGAGGAGAAAAAATGAAAGAGGAGCCTTCGCTGGCTGTGCTTGGCAGTGCTTAGAGCCGTGATGGTTAAAAATTGATGACCATCGATAGAAAGAATAGCGTTCGTGACACGCGAGAATTTCTCCTCGCTCAGGTTCGTAGACCGTATGACTGGAAAGATCTTCGAAGAATAGTAGCAACTCGAGAAATTAATCCCCCGCGCGCGGCAAGCATCATCCTGATTTATTAACTTTTGGTATCGAGAATCCGCTGGAGTAAATCAAACGAGTCGATAAACACGAACGAAAGGATTAATTCTCTCTCGCTTGAAAAATACAATCTGGAAAAAAATTAGACATACTCGCTAAGATTCCTATAGAAAATATGCGTGTAATATTTCGTAACATTTTTGTTGTATAATTATGTAAAAAAAAAAGAATCTAAAATCTATTCTATAAAATTATTCTGTTTATCTCTTGCACTGAAGCTCGAGCGTAGGAGCTATTATTTTATTAAAAAAAAGATTGCTTTTTTTTATTCTACCTCGCGTCACCGATCGCTACCTCTCGCCTTCGCGTATTTTCTCTATCGAGACCCGAAGGTATCGCCGAGCGAACCTCTATTCGAAACGTAGGTATATACGAGATCGTGTCTGCGTCGTGAGCCTGAAGCGGTCCCTTGTCAGGAAGAGGTCCGAAGGCGAGAAAGAGATTTACCGTGGTCTCTCTGTGCGAGAGAGCGGCCACGGGGCTCTCGGGGACCCTATTCTACGCCAATCGACTCTCGTTCTTCTTAGTGTCACGGCGCTCGCTCTCTCGCCGCGCCGCCGAAGAGGAGTCAACTCTTACGCCACGCGTTACCTTCATTACCATATCTCAGATGCAATCTGTTCCCGGGAATTAATGCACCCGAGATATTTCCTGCCGCCTCGGATCTCACCCGGAGCGAAACGTCGTATCCGCGCGCTGCAGCTGCCGAGTATCTCTCACGAAGGCGTGGTCCGTCCCGAGAGAAGCAGAGTTTTTCTCACACATATGAATAAAGATCGTTTATTAATTTTGAAATAAAGTCGCAGGCAATCATTGGCATCTAAATAGATGGACGGAGCATTAGCTGTCGATTAAGACGAGGGAGGGCTTTGATATTCGCGGTAAAGGGAGACTCTATGAACTTCGGTTGAATTTGGTTATTCCCGATAATGATCGGTTAATAATTCGACTTCAACTTCTTTCATTAACATCAAAGTTTAGATCACATGTATTAAGTTGTGTTGTGACTAATGTCATATTATTTTTATATTTATTATATTATTTAATATATATATATTTATATATTAAATAATATACATAAATAATATTATAATAATAATATAATATTATATATAATGTTATATATATGTATATATGTATCTTTTATATATTATTTAATATTATTATTTTTATATTATTTTAGCGGCGTTAGCGATTTTCTCTAAGTAAACATTTCTGTGAAAATTTAGTTGAGAATTGATGATGTCAATGGAATTGTCATGTAATGTCAAATTGTGCCGAATAGTCGAACGTTGACGGAATTAATCGAAATTCATGCACTCCCCCTTACTGCATTTATCAGTTACCCCTCTCAAAAGACTCCGTCTATCTATTCAGATGTCAATGCATGCAATATATCGATCGTGATAATCCGTGGCGCGGTGGAAAATGACGTTTTTTATCATAGAAAATAGAGATTTATAATAATAATTATTAATTGTAATTTTTTTATTAATGTTTGTCTCTAGTATTTATTTTTAATTTATTGTAATTAATATTTGTATAAATGCATGTATAAAAGTATAAGAAAAGAATTAGATTCATTAGAACTAGAATATATATTTTTCGATTAATCAATTATTACATTTCTTATCAATTGAATTGAATATTTTTATAATATAAACCTAATAAAATTACTTTCGTAATTTCATGTGAAGGTCGATACTGATGCGTAGCTAAAGTTGTTTTTCTTGTAAGTTGTATTGTTGAAGGTTACATCCTTCAATATTCAAACATGAGACGCGACGGTAGTAAAGATAGTAAGATTATTGTTATTGCGGATAAGAGATGAACAATTCGCAGACGTGCCGATGGCATCTTTACGTGAGGATACTTGAGAGTTCAAATTTTATTAATCGTGTATGCGTCACTTCGCAAAATATATGTATGAATCGAGCAACAGAAGTTGAAAAATTGAAAAAATATAGTAAACTTTTTATAATAAAAAAATAGAGACATTTACACATCAACTATTTGTATAAATATTTGAAATATATTAAATTTACAATAAAATATCGCTTATATATTTTAATTTTTAGTAAAAGAAATGTTTATACATGAAAGCATTAATAATTTGTATCTTTTAATTAAATCAAGTAACATTAAATGTATACTTCCGTTGCACTTGTCCTCATCTTCTGCTAATTAGTACTTCTGTTTATACTCGTTCTTTTTATTGCCGATTAATTGCTCCATATTTCTTTTCTTATTATTACATCCGGTTGCGCATGGTGAGGTCTCGTTTAAAGAAGGGCAATCGTATCACGCTGCAGGTTAAAACAGAACGACTCACGCCTGACAATAACTCGACATCGTCGAGGAGCGTGACGCCTTCTTCGTCGAGTCATCCGGGGACGCCGCCAAATGCTACGCCTTTGGGAGGACCCGAGGGTCCACCGCCACCCCATCACCTCAAGCACATGGAACAGATGATGGGGCGAAATTATAGCGATTTCATGAGAAGTCTCGCCGCCAAATACAACAATGCCAACCCCAATGAGTAAGTCTTCTTCTTTTATTGATTTCTTTGCGATAGAATTATATTTCTCATATTATGAGTATTGCTCGCAGAATTACTATAATAATGATACAACAAAAAATAATATTAATTGCAAAAAAGTCGAAATATAAAACTGTAAAAATGGTTCAAATGATACAAATCAAATAAAAAGCAAAAGAAGATTGGAAATCAAAGACGCAGGTAAAATTATTTATTTTATATATAAGAAGCGCAAAAATATATGTTTAAAATGTACGGTCGACGGCGTTTCGACCCTGCTCCTGGGTCCTTTTCAAAGTCAAATAGGAAAAACATAATATTACTATACATTAATCATAATATATTATTAGTATCACGCATCATTAATCATAATATATTATTATCACGCACCATTACCTGCGTCTTTGGTTCCTAGTCTTCTTTTGCTTAATATTAATTGCAATATGAATATTTTCTGATTTTATTTTCTATTTAATCAATTAAGGATCGACGTATAATTGTTACTTGTTTATCATCTCTCGATTCTACCGTAAAATTTATCTTATATGATTGAAGGAAAATAATTTCACAAAATCGTCTTCAAATATTTTGTCGAAACATGACATGCAGTATATTGACTTTCGTCGATTGATGAAGACCGCGAGATGTTGCGGTAAAAAAATGGAGAGACTTGAAGGCTGAAAATAGATGATTCAAGTGATTAAGATTCGTAAGACGCAGAGTAACCGAGAGATCCGATGTACTCTCGCATAAAACCGGTTGTCCGTTTGCGTCGTACGTTGACTTTCGGCTTTGTAGCTTCTAACACTTGTTGGAAGCAGATCAGATGAATACTTAATTGATCAGTTAAACATCAAACAGATTCTAGCACAGCGATGCTCACTCTCCTTGACATTTGAAGGAGAAAGTTTGATAATTCGCTGCATGTCTGTTTGCATCTTGTCATATTTAATCGGTACGTTCATCGAATTTGGGGATTAGGAAAGAAAAGTATCTCGCATCTCTTCGTCTGACAGTTTATTAGGAATTATAATATATTTTTCTTTCGAATAATTTCAAGAATATTCTAAAAGAGAATAAAAAAAAAGTTAAATTGAGGTCGATTGATTGTTTCAGTTACTTCAGTACGTCAAGGAATGGATATCCTCCGGGCTTAGATCCGAGGTTTCCGGCCTTCAAGACCGCTGCGACGCCATTTGTTGGTCTGATGGCGCCTTTAGGGGCACCGCAACCACCGACTGTCCCGACGACCTCGCCTCTCTCCAACAAAGACCCGAAAGAACAAAAACAGGATAGTCTCTTTGGCAATCCTGTGTTCCCGCCTATGATCGATATGTCTTCTACTCAGGCTCTTCTTCACATGGTGCGCACTGCCAATGCGGCTCAAAACGCAGCTGAATTGGAAACATACCTCAAAGGCAAGTGTCAAAAAAATAAAATATTCTCCGAAAAGTACCGTTTATCCGTCATTCGCAATAATTATTCTCCAATTATTTTTTACTACATGTTCTTAATTATCTAATATTTAAAAGCAATTGAGATATCTTCTTAAGAAAAAATTAATTCTGAAATTAATCAAAGCATACATAAATAAAAAATATTGCGTAGAATCGGTGCCCTTTTTTATCATATATGCCACGTCAATAAACAACATTTCGTTGGATTTGATACGCAGGTGCGAACAAAAGAGACGCGGGAGTGACGAGCCCTTTGGATCTTTCGAGTCCCGGTGGCTTCGCGCCTCGCAAGCGGCAAAGGCCGGAAACAAGGAGATCCGAAAGCGTGTCTCCCAAGCCGAAACCTACCGCGAGACCGATCACACCTCCCCCAGTCAGATGTCCGACGCTCTACGCTCACATGCCCTGCGGCGACGGACAAGCCGTGAATCGCTGGACCATCGAGGATGTCGTCAATTACGTCTCGTCGATCGACATCTGCGCCGAGTACGCACAGGTAAGTCGAGGAAAATTTTTCTTACCTCACGGCGCGATTTTCTGCAACGAAGATGATGTCATTTTTCGTGCATGCAACAAAGCAAAAATTCTAATAGCGCAAGAGAGCGTGCGATTGATTCTCGAATGTTGAAAGCCGACATTTCTCAGTAGATTCCTTCGCGATTATTTCATTCGAGGGAAATATTTCTATAAATTTAAAAGAAAAGAGGTATTTGCGAAAAATAATATAACAATCATCTTTAATAATTTATAACGATTACAAGAGACTCGTTACTCACAAAAAAAAAAATACCGTATAAGATTTCAGTCGTCATGCGTGAAATTCTGTATTGGATATGTGTCCGCTATTTTTAATTGCTTTCGAAAGTCAACCCCGTAATGACGCGCGCGTTACGGTCCATCGCGCAATATCTTCTCGAGGCAGCAAAGCGATCTAGAAGGCTTTGAATGACCTGACATCAGTCAATCCAGACAGTCTGACATTAGCGAGTAGGGAGAGACGGCGCGCCACAACTACGAGAGTTCTATAATGACCCCTCGAAGCTAACGTCGACCCTCCACCCCCTCTCTAGTTTATAGCATCTATACTTTCTCCTCCTGTTCTCTCGCTCCTTCTTTCTTTGAATCTGTTTCTTTTCTCTCTTTATTTCTTTACCGTTTGAAGACGAAATGCGCTCGCAAGCATGATCTCGCTTCTTGCAATGATAGTTTTTATGAAGCGCTTAACATTCTCCATCTCCGGGAAAGCCGTGGGCACGACCGTTGATCCTTGGATGTCCACTGAAATTATTCGCGATCACATACTCATTCGATTTAAACGTTTCCGCTCGTTTTTCTCTATTTAGAAGCGCGTAATTTCGCTAGACAGTAACGACCTTTCGTCGCAAAACTGGGGCGCGGTCCACTTTCTCGGGCCCGTCCTTACTCGCGATCGTCGAGAGCCGTACGATGAATGGTTTCATAATTCGCGATAAAACGGAGAGATGTAATTACCGAGCTGCTGCCTGGTAGACGCAAATTGATTAATTATAGATAACCTGACACGCTTATCTCGCACGTACACGATACGATCTTCTACTTGGCGAATCGACGGTGTCACGGAGCGGGGCCCTCGAACCGCGCCACTCCTCGCCGACTTCGTGACAGAAGTTATTCCTCCGGCTGTCACATCGTTCACTCACACCTGACAGAGAGCAAGAACCATGACTTCACCGCGATAGAAAAATTCCTCATCCGTGTCACGAGAGTCGCAATTTCCTCTCACTTTACTTTGGGAAGTTATTTCGCAATGAGAAGCGAAGATAAATGTGCATTCAGCCTAATAAAAAATATTCCATGATTATTATATGCGTCAATATCACACTGAGAAAAAAATCTGGTTGCATCAATTAGAATTATGGTAGATTCAACCAGTATGTCTTTTGGAAAATGGACATGAATTTCATAAGAGGCTGCTTAATTCATAAAATTATTAACATGACGTCGAGGATGGACATCTATTTTTGCTTCCTCTTAATTTTTTATCGTCGTCAGCTCTAATTTATTGCGTGTGATATTTATAAAATATACGTCGTTTAAAGTATTTTCTTTCGATGGCGAATAATCTTTTTTTCATCAGTAGAATCATCGACAATTTTACTTGAAGCGAAATAAAAGAGAACGATAAGATTTTTATAAATTATTTCGTAAAAGAATCACATTTTTTCATATTTTCTGTGGGAAAACACGAACATATTATATTAACTAACATGTGTTATTTTTGTTTCGGGTAAGCAGAATGTTTTGTGCGGAGACCCGAGAGTGCTCGCTGTTCTCGTGGAAATCGTGGCCAAGGTATATAATACTCGCTATGATCCGATCGCATCGACCAAGTTCGGTAACGTACATCGATGGCCATATTTCTGTCTCTCGAATCTAAAAGCTTATTATATATAGCTTTATATTGTCGGCCGCGTATCCCGAGGAATTCTCACACTTTGGCCGGTACGCCTCGCGATTGCGAGGAAATCTAAAACGAATCGCCATCCGCTGAAAGTGCAGCGCCTAAAGACACGTAGGTTGAAAGATTTACGAGAGCGTTGACCTTTCGCGCTTTAACACAGCCGTTCCGCGTTTCTTTTTTTCCTACAAACACGCATTCATGCAGGTTTGCGCGCGAAATATATCGGCGAAAATAATAATTAATTCAATCATCTACGCGTGGATTAATATCGCAATGTTGCTGCGACTTTCGTAAATATTATAAAAGGGCACTTGAAATATACACTGAGAAAAAAAATCTGGTTGCATCAATTAGAATTCTGGTAGATTCAATCAGTATATCTGTTGGAAAATGGACGAACCAGAATTCTTGTAGGAATTACCAGATGAATCTGATTAATTTCTTCCTGTTAAATTTATCAAATTTTTCTTCCTGTTAAATTTATCAAATTTTCTGGTTAATAATACTAAACTCGCCAGCACCAAGTCTAAAATTTTTTCCATCTAATTTCAAAAGTCTGTTTAATATTCTGAATTCCAACAAGATTATTGGATAAATTCAATCCAGATTATTGAATAAATTTTAAATTCAGTTTGTTAGAAATTAAACTGATAAACAGTGATGCAAGAAGAGGATGCAGCTCAAACACCCACAATCAGAGAGCTAGCGTTCTCTTTCTGGCACTATTGTTTGTAAGAAAAAAAAAATATACTTTGGATTTAATGTTAATATTAGTTCTTTATATACATTTTATGGCAAATAGTAAATACGAGTTAAGTTTAAATACTAATCAAATTCTTATAGTAAAATCTATTAAACGTTCTAGTTATAAAAAATCGAGTCTTACCATGATAACTCGAAATTCTTGTTTGATTTAACCAAAATGTCTTCAATCATACACGTCTTGTTGAGATACAATCAAATGATTTTTCTCAGTGCAGACTTTTGAAAAAAATCTTTGATGATTGAGCACGTCCGATATGCTTATTAATAAGCTCGTTTTAACGAGGGAAATTCACTGATCCGCGTCGAAATGAAATTCGCTCACGTCGCGGTACCCAATTTTGCGGTGTCCTTCGCGAGATAAGAATCGATGCCGCGTCGTCTCGGGGCTCGCATAAAGTCTCGGTGGTATTCTGCGACGAGGTTCACCGAGAAGAGCGGTCCTTGAAGATCTCTCTTATCTATATATGCTCTCATGGTTGGCCCTCGTCATTCTTGAATCGAGTCGACGGCTGATCGAAGCACTCGAGGACCCCTCCGTCCCCTTCCACCGCCGCCCCGGCGTTCGATTACATTCGAGTATTCATGAATATGCATGACGGGAGGTGGGCGCCCGCGCAAAAATTTACGGCCCTGACAGTCTGACGTTTCGAGGACCGCGACTGCGTTCGCGCGAACGAGCATCCGAACGGGGCCTAACGATAGCCGAGGATAATCGAAACTGACGTGCCCCCGGGGACCTCGCTACACTTCTCGAGAGAATCGCTGTTCGAAAGGAATCTTGGTACCGTCGTTCCTCGCTCCTTGTAAGCACATATGCGGAATAAGCGTTGATAATGATTTTGCGAGTGAATTAATGAATTTTTTGTTAGCGATATATTAAAAATATGTATTACAGGTAATACATATAATATTGCGTATATAAGATTCGATCGTGATTAATTACATCGGAAGATAATGTCGTGAAAATGGCGATAATTAATGTGAATGTAAATTAATGATGCAATTTATGCGTTTGTCTGTTATTAATGTTCGATTTAATGCGAATTCATATAACGATCACGCGAATACGCAATATTGGATCGTTAAAATACGTAAAAGTGAAATCTAAATAAATCGTTTAAGGTTCATAAAGCGGAGCCATAATATCCTCTGTGCACGATCGTCAATTACATTTGAATATTTTGCACGTGCAATATTTGATTCCATTATTTCCACGTGAATTTCGAGCGCAAAGAGCACGATCTCGACTCGAGTGGATCTTGGAATTGTGGCATCGATACTAATCTAAAAGGACAGAAAAAAAGATGCCGTCAATTGAACGGCAAGAACGATCCTACCGTAAATCGACTCGAATTATGGCGGTGAACCTTATACCTTACACAATATTATTGTGCGCTTACTTTCGTTCGAGTCAACGATGCGAGACTATCTCGGATAAACGCGAAGATTTATCGCTGCAAAATATTAATAACGGCACTTTTTTTAATTAATACTTACCTTGAGAGTTTATTTTTACAACGATAAATTATTTTTACGAAAAAACTTCGAAACGATCAATTTCACTTTGGCATATTTGTAATTAATGAATTAATAATTAATATGTAATTGTATAATTACATATTAATGAATAAATTACTGAGAAAATCACGTATGACACGCGTTATTAATAGTGCGAGAAATTTTATGTTATTAATCAATCATATATATAATTATTATCAATTATATCAGTTTACCATCAATCATATATAAATTTTATATAGCTAAAGTTTTATTTGTGTAATTTGACAAATATTAAATCAAGTAGTTTCGCAATTTTATTTCGTAAAATTTTGACAGAATCTTCCATGAATGAGAGTGCCAACGCGAAGAGTGAAAGTAATTGATGTATTTGTTTAACGATACACATGGTTGATTGCTAGGGAATGATGGGTACGTAGGTGTAACTTATTGCAACGGGAAGAAATGGAGAATATAAGAGATTCCGTGGGCCCGAAAGACTCGAACGAGGGGTTAAAGCAACCGCTGCACACATAAGCGCGACCGCGCGTCGAGGCTGACATAAGATCGTTCCATCCCGGATCGTTAGAAAGTCATGAATGTGAATCGACCTGGTCTATATGTCTTCAGTGATGCGACGCACACGAAGGATACAGTGTCCTCACGTCCCACGCACGCTCCTCCTCGTCGCGTCCGTTTGTCGCTAGCCTTTTATCGATCCGATACTTGTCTATTCAGAATCAATCTTTAATTATGCTTTAATCAAGCGTTCCTCGATTTTAGAAATTCCAATT